TGAAATGGTCAGTATAGTTTAGTTATTGTTACTAAACTATTACAGTAACAACAAAGTTTATTTTTCATACTACATACCCGTTGTTAATTTGCTGGGAGCTCAGATTCACAACATTTTCACTAGGGACTTAACCTGAAAGAATGTCCACAATTTGCAAGATCTCTAGTGGTAGTGAGTAGATAACAGATATATGAAGTTATATACTGACCAAATGAGTAACTGTTTTCTACTCTTAACACTTCTGGCACCTAATGTGTGGACTTTTATTTTTTCCCCACTGAACAATTCTGACAGACCATACAGGTTAGGGGTTCGGTCGCACAAGATTGTCTTCCAGTTCATATGGCAATCCAGAGCCATCTGTACTCCTAACCAACAGGCATAGATCAGGGGTTCCCAAACCACCCCCCTTTGCCTTTGATAATTTGCTAGAATGGCTCACAGAACTCAGGAAAACAGTTTACATAATATTACCAGTTCAAATTATAATAAATATTTTTTTTAAATATATACTTATAAATGCTTGTCTTAAAAAACAAAGTCATGGGACGCCTGGGTGGCTCAGTTGGTTAAGCATCTGCCTTCGGCTCTGGTCATGATGCCAGGGTCCTGGGATTGGGCCCCGCATCAGGCTCCCTATTCAGCGGAGAGCCTGCCTCTCCCTCTCCCTCCCACTCTGCCTACTAGTGCTGTCAAATAAATAAAATCTTAAAAAAAAAACAAAAAACCACACACACACACAAAGTCAGGATAAAAATATTGTAGACTTCAGCAAAATTAAAACTGAAAGCTCTAAACTATGGGCTTGAACAGTTCATGCCAGAAATACTAGGTGTCTATAACTTCACTACTTTATCATCAGATACAGATTTTCAAATAATTAGAACAGGTTCCCAAAATACATCATTGTGTATCACAGCCTTCAATGACGACTTGCATCACAAACTTAGAATAATAGGATGAACAGTAATATCTTACACGTAAATTTAAAAGAATACTTAAAAAGGGACTAAGATCCTTTATGTGGATTAAGCTATAAAACCTGGTTTTTAATTATTCATAGTTATGTTTGTAGAGTTATTTTAGAAAGAAGAATAGTACTTGATTTAAATTCATCCAATAAATTATAAGGGCAAACTTTATCCTACATTTCTAGGCTAGAGCATAAATTTCCAGTCTTATTTATTTACAACTTGAGAAATTGAGCACTAGATAATAAAGTCAGGAAACTTTATACTATACATAAATGGTCAAGCCAGCCACTTGATCCATAAGTCTAAGATTAATCTACCCATAAAGAATTTATTTTAAATGATTAATTTTTTGAGGCCAGCAAAATATTTTAAAGTTAATTTTGGAAAAAGTTGATTTGTGCTTTACTACATTGATATAGCTAAGGAAATCGCATATTCAGTAATTTCACAAATAATGTCTCTGACCAGAAAAAAAAAATGCATACATGTGAAGCATATCTAGAGTTAAGTAAAGGATCTGTTGAAATTTCTTATATCAGTTAAGAATATATGGAGAAATGGAGTTGAAACATTATATGATTAGATGCATTTGTTGGTATTTGAATTATCAAAGAATTATCAATAATTGATCATGGGTAACACTGCAGAAGATTTAGAGATATTCAAGAAGGAATCAATCCTTATCCTTTTCCAAATCAATTTCTTCCTTAAAGGTGTACACAATTTGGAATTACTCATTATGAAGAAAGTATGACTAATTAATCAGAGGCTTTATTATAATTCCAAAAAGATAAAAGACTGAAATGTAACTAATAAGTTTAAATTCACCAAACACAGAAAGTCCTACATGTGTGTAGAACTCTACAAAAACACAAATAGAGACTTAACAGCAGCTTATGTGATCCTATTTAACTATAAATATCATATACATCAACACTATGAAGGAGCAATTGAGCCATCCAGATCATCCCCATTACCAGAGATACTATATACGTAAGAATGCAGGTCTTCTTTAAACTAGAAAGACGGTATGTCTAGCACAGACAATGAAGCCAATACATTCTCTCATCCAAGGAGGAGTTACCAATCAACTGAAGCTATGTCTTATGAAAAATGGTTAAAAATCTTTCCAGATTTCACTGTTCTTCATTTCACTGATCAGAGACTGAAAAGGAAACACATTAACTATCTACAAATACACCCTAATGGCTATCACAGCGATGGACTGGTTTAGGGAACAAAATCCAGTGTATGAATGCTATAAAAAACTGTATCTGACAGCACCATGGAAAGCACAAACTGACACTCTTCTCACTTAACAGTGACAGAAGCTTTACCTTAGGAATCTTCATATCCTTAGTATTGATAGAATGTTTGTCAAATAGGCTCTCAAAATTAAAGATACTGATTTAGCTTAGTACTGAAGTAAAAGGAAAAAGTAAAAAAAAAAAAAAAATAGTGAAAGACTGTCCAGAGGTAGTGGTTTCTTTATGTAGGGCCTATTTATGAGGACTGTATCCCAAAGTTTCATTTAGAGAGTATTAGCCTCAGAGTTGCCTATGTTTAAAGGGTTACAGTAGAAAATGGAAAATGATATCCCCTTGTCCCCGATTTGCAGATATGAAATGTTCATCAGCTTATTAAGAATTTGCGAGAAGCCCTCCATGGAAGACATCTGTTTAACTCTATTCACTGATGCCTCCCCAATTTTTTAACCATAGCTCTTTAACGGCCTATCTAATGAACATCACAGAATCCTTTGGTAAATGCTCTTTAAGGTGGAATTGTGCCCTGGACATGTCCTAGCCTAGTAGGAGTCAACTGGCACCTGTGTCTTTAAGGACAAAAGTAAACCCTATATTTTAAACATTCTTACACATTTCAGACATCTTCACTATTTTATTTTAAAGAAAAGCAACATCCAAGTAAGCTATCTTTGCTTCTTAAAATGATGAGAGACATATTTTGAAGGCTTAGCAGGGTCATTTTCTATACAGTCTTGACAGCTAAGTAGACAGATTGCTTAACAGGTCCAAATTTGCTCAAAATAATAATGGTCAGCTGCAAAGTAGTAGGCTGCAAAACCTCCTCCTTTTCAACAAGACCACTTTTCCAATCACAGGTGCAGAGTCACATAGATATGCAACTCCATGGCATTCATGGGGAGAGAATGCCAGGTGTGGAGAAATGAACAATTTTGTTACGAATATGAACTCCACAACAGTTGTCAGATTTAGGAAATAAAAACACAAGGTGCCCAGTTATACTGAATTTCATGTAAGATAACAAAGAATTTTAGTGCAAGTATGTTTCCTGTAATATTTCAGACATACTTGTACTAAAACTTATTGTTTATCTGAAATTTGCATCTCACTAGGCATGCTATATATCATTTGGACCATACTCTCCCACTGGAATATCAACTAGGGTGCATACAGACCCTTTGTGTTTAGCCTAAATCACAGGAAAAATAAAGTCCCGGGGACTGTATGTGCTCTTCCATTTCTTAGCTTTTGAGATTTTTCTCAATGAACTATTTTTATAACTACATAGTGTAGCATGAGTAGTGTGCATCCATGACTCCTTCGCATGGCACAAGAGAAAGAACTGATTTTTCCAACCACAATAATCTGGAATACAACCAAAGACAATCTATTGGAGAAGGAATATTTTTTTAAAGATTTTATTTATTTGACAGAGAGAGACACAGCAAGAGAGGGAACACAAGCAGGGGGAGTGGGAGAGGGAGAAGCAGGCTTCCCGCTGAGCAGGGAGCCCAATGTGGGGCTCGATCCCAGGACGCTAGGACCATGACCTGAGCTGAAGGCAGATGCTTAATGACTGAGCCACCCAGGCGCCCCAAAGACAGAATATTCTTGAACAAAGATACAGACCCAAGTTCTTATTCTTACTCTTCCAGTTATGCATTGTTCTTGGGCAAGTATGTGTATTTCTTCAGGCCTTGGCTGCCCTGACTTCAATAGCCCCTACAATGCTAATATATTATACTTCCATGATCCTAAGTAAATTTAGCTTTGCCTCATTCTTGATGACTACCCAGAGTCCATACTTACATATTATGGAAGCAGAGAAAACCACCTCAAAGAAAACCAAGGATTGGCTAAAAGATGGTGCTTATATTTAATTAAAATCCATTTGTTTCAAAAGAAATGTTGTTATCTTCAGGCTAAAAGGGTACCTTAAATATTTCACAAATAATAACTGTTATTCATCAACAATACATTCCTTGGTCAGTACAAATCACTTTTATTCCAGACCAATAAAAACCCCGTTGACTTTTCCACTTTCTTGATTCTTGTGGGGTACCTCTAAGACACTACAAAGCATTCTGCAATTTCAATAAAAGGTATCTATACACAAAGGGCAAATCCATCTTCCCTAACACAGTCTCCAAATAGTTTGATTTAAATAGCATTTCTTTGCACTAAGACTCTATAATGCTAATTCATTTTGCCTTCAGCTTAACTTTCTGCTATTAATAGAGTGACAATAAGAATTTTTCTCTAAATAGCATGCCCTCTTATAATATGAATGTCAAGCGTTGCTTTCAAGTAATTAAAAACCTGATCACCAACATCTTTAGCACAACATAAAAGAAACAAGCCATTTCAAATTACACAAATGGCTGCATTCTGAACTCAGTTAAATACAAAACTCTAGTTCAATTTGAATTTCTAATTTCAAATTCCAAATTTAGGACATACTTAATTTATTGTTTATCTGAAATTCAAATTTAGCCAGGCATTCTGTATTTTTTTATTTAACAAATCTGGCAACCCCATGTGGGCTACCTAGTATAAGATATCCACCAATTTCACCTTCTTATTTTCCTTCATCAGAACACTTGTTTTGATTTTATTTTTCCCTCAAGAGAGGTTCTGCCTATGTGAGAACACAGACAATTTTCCAGCCAAAATTTTTCTTATCATTAATGTATCTTTGCTTTTAAAAAATCAGGTTCCCTCCATTAAAACTGTAGTCTACAAAACACAAAATTTTACTTACCTGTGGGAAATATATAAGAAGACCAGATAATAAAATATTTCTTTTTTTCACTTCCTTTGCATATTCCCTGATCTGTATTAGGCTTTCCATTTTCTCATCAAAAGGTACTGATTTATAATCAAGAAAATATACCTGCAAAATAATACAAAAGGTAATATTAGAATACCATTCCTTTCACTTTCCTTTGAAAAATATAACATTAAAGAAGCTCAAACACAATATATTATTGTAATTTTTATCAGTGTGTGTTAATTTCTAGATATGCATTTCAACCATAAATGTTTATTAAAATTGATGAATCCTCCTTTATAAATAAAGGCAGTAAACAGTCATTGAGAACACAATATTGAAAAATACAAAATGCTAATATTCTATTTCTACTTGTGTCAGAGTCAAATGTATAAAGAATATATGATTTCAACCATTTGTTCTATTTAATTTATAATTTGAAACTAGGCTACATAGAAATATCATATATTAGTTACCAATATCAATAAAATTAAAGGGAGTGCTTACCTATTACATTCATAAATATTTTTAGAAGAACCCCTTTCAAATAATTGAAATTCTAATAAATCACCTATTTCTTAGAGAAAATCCAGAATTTTATATGTAATTTTTAGCAGTGTTAAATAGTATTTTTCTTGAAATTATTCCAGACTATTTTTTAAATATCATTTTTCATTTAAATTTTAAGGAGCTCAGGGTAAGTTTTCCTCTTTCAAATTATTGAAGTTTTATGGTACTGTTCATCTTTTGTGGGACATAAAATATCTAAACCACAAGAGCATCAAAATAAGACACAATTACGTACACAGAATAAACACTCAAACATGTATTCTTTCACAATACCAGATTTAAGAAATGCTCAAAAATTATAATTTGTTCAATTACATGTATTTATTATCTAGAAACGTTTTAAAATCTACTCTGCTTTGAAACTCTTATACTAATCCCTCCGCTTCCTCTCTTCATTCATATAAAAACACGCTCTACAGAAAATACAAAACAAAATCTTACTATGTTTTTTCTGTAACAGAAGGGAATGAGTTTCCACCTACCACCTTGCATTTTGCTCTTCCAGGGAAAAGCACTTAACATCCATTTTAAAAGAAAATCATGTGAGGACATGTATGTATATCAATTCAGTAGATCTTCAGTCACTATTTCTTGGACATTTTCATTATAGTTAACCAAAGACATACACATATAGTTACTTCCTCCTAAAATCTAAAGTGACAATGGAGACTTTTTTTCTTAAAAATGCTCTATCCATTAGAGAATCAAAAGAATAGACAAAAAAGCAAAAAAAGAAAAATGTAGAAGATAAAAAGCACAAAGAAAAAGGTCTCAGGCTTTACTATCTACTGAATAGTTGAAGAAAAGACAATGTGACCCTGTGACCTTGAGCTCACCCTCCCTTAGCAGTGATTCCCTGAAAACTTATAAAGATGAAATCTCAGATTTTTCACCAGGCAACAATGCTTAAAGCAAATATGAGACTGGTGAACCACAGCCAGGCTGGAATAACTGTGAATGAACTATAAATATTAGACTTTCCTTCAGGGTAATTTAACTTATAACCAGGTGTTCCCCTAGCTGAGACCTGGAAGCTAACAGTGATCAGCTGTTAAAAAGATACTAGGTCCTATTTGTAGCTTGAGCCTTCTAGAAGGATGGCTCACACACCACCTTTCTGTGATCTCCTTCCCTCCGCCTTGATAAGGTGGAGGAAAAGTGGAGGGGAAAAAAGGCAGGCCCATACTAATGTGAAATTAAGAGCTCAAGAGCTAAAGCTGAAGATACATGTCCATCTCTGCATTTTCTCCTGTCCTGAGGTCTTTTAGGATTGTACAAACTAGTGCCACAGGATTCTTCTAGTCTTGTGAGTTTAAAATATCTTTCTGAAGCTAAAATTGCTGACTGTGGGCTTGTCCAAAAAAAAAAAAAAAGCAGGCTAATTCCCCAAACTCGAGGCAATTTATGTAATTACAGTCCTGTTATGAATCTAAAGCTAGGGGACTGGCTGAGACTAAGACTCTCTCCTGGGCCCATACTGCCAGGTCATTACATAGTCCCATACCTTCTGGACTAAGGAACAACACTACTGTTTGGTGTTACATGCCTCAGAGTACTCTTTAACTCTTTTACCTGTGTAATTATCTGTAATATTTAGATACCAGGAAATGCCAGGAGCCACCATGCCCAATATACTTTATATGAATAGAATGTCCTAGGGGTTTGCAATGCACAATCTGGGAAACCTTACTGTTAGCCTAGATACTCAATGAGGCAAAGAGACATTTCTTGTTTAATACAAGTCTTCCTAACAAATTTTCAGTCTGAAAAATCTTACAGTAAAATAAAGGGGGGTGCACAAAGGGTTTGTGGAAAAAATAGCACAAGCAGCAGAAAAGATAAAACCACTCCACTTTGTAATTACAGCCTCCACAGAGATTTAAAATGCACAGAAATTAAAGACTGGAAATGCTGGTAACGTATTAATTGGAGAAGGAATGATGGATACAACTGGGAACGGAGCTCTGCACTTCAAAGCTGCCATTGAACTTGGCTCAGGAGGAAGTGCACCTGCCAAGGGAAACTCCCTGCAAAGTCAGAGCTGGGAGCAGGTGCTCATTTTTCAATTTTCCTAAAAAAGTGTCCTAAAAGAGAGCCTAAAGTTAATTAAAACTTTGGGAGCTTAAAAGTGGTATAAGTAAAACTCTTGACAAGAATAAATTATACCAGGGTGCCTGGGTGGCTCAGTTGGTTAAGCGACTGCCTTCGGCTCAGGTCATGATCCTGGAGTCCCTGGATCAAGTCCCACATCGGGCTCCCTGCTCAGCAGGGAGTCTGCTTCTCCCTCTGACCCTCCCCCCTCTCATGTGCTCTCTCTCATTCTCTCTCTCTCAAATAAATAAATAAAATCTTAAAAAAAAAAGACTTTAAAAAAAAAGAATAAATTATACTGGAATGAGAAGGCTCAAGAGAGAAAGTATGCTGAATCTGCATTTTGTTAAAAAAAAAGACAGAAATTAATGATTTTACACTGAGTTAACTTAGTGATTTATGTTTTTAAAATAATGGTATTTAACTAAAACTATATACATCTCTACTGTATAGTTTTTGAACTTGCAGAAGGAGAAAAGTATTATCTGTATCAATGCAGCAAATTATAGGAAGAAATTAAAGTAGCAAATAAAACAATTCACCAACCTTGTGGAAAGAACTCAAATATAAAAGTAATACAAATAAATTGAGCATATTTAACCATCTCCTAAGTAACAGATTTACCAGATTGGATTTTTAAGGAAAAAATCTAACAATATGCTAGTTATAAGATAAATGTCTAAAGCAAACTAACCTGAAAAGCACAAAATAAAAGGATGAACAGACATGCCTTGCCAACACTACCAAAAATGAAGGTTGTAGCAATATGATTCATTTTAGTTTAAGACAAAAACTATTAATTCACATAAAGGCACAAGGTGCATAATAAAAAAAAATTATAATAAACTTATTAAGAACATAGATTTGAATACACAAGACAAAATATTTGACTGATGAGAATTTTTTTTTAAAGATTTTATTTATTTATTTGAGAGAGAGAGAATGAGAGAGAGCGAGTACATGAGAGGGGGGAGGGTCAGAGGGAGAAGCAGACTCCCCGCCGAGCAGGGAGCCCGATGCAGAACTCGATCCAGGGACTCCAGGATCATGACCTGAGCCGAAGGCAGTCGCTTAACCAACTGAGCCACCCAGGCGCCCGAGAACATATTTTCCAAATCAATAAACAGAGATGTTACTGCACTTGTCTTAAAAACTAATGTACCAAACATATTAAAAAACAAAGTTGGAACAGATTCTGCTTCCGATGCAGCAGCTAAACTGAGGGGTTTTTCCTCTCCCTTCAAGGTTATAATTTTATTCCTGTTTTTCTGGCTGTTCTTATCTAGGAAAAGTTGCATATGAACTGATGTCACTTCCAAAATATAGAGACCTAACTCCCTTATTTATTGATCACGTAGAAGCTAATTTTTTTTTCAGAAACATGTATTATAGCAAAAACAGATGATGAATTGAAAAACAAAGCACAATAGTCTTTTAAAGTTCTCACCAAGTCATGAAATGTCAAACAAGGACTGGAAGACTTTCACTCCAGCTAAAGATCTCTTAGACACAACACACCCTAGTTCTTTGGAAAGATAAAAGATAATGGCATGTAAAGAAATCATTAAGCCAATGCTGTTCACCACACATTCCATGAATTAAGGAAATGCATAAAAGTGAATTCTAGGCAAGCTATTTATACATCTACAAATTGCCTATATTATCCCATCAAACCATCAAACTATGTTACCCATTAAGTAATCAGTACTTAAATTATAGGGAAAGTTTAAGAAATGTACTAAAACATAAGACTCTGCTCGACATTGTACTAGTTGACATAATCAACTTTTAAAGAAACAGATATGGATATTGACCTTATGAAATGTATTAGCAGGTTGACAAAATTCAAACATGAAGTAGGATACATCTCAAAATTCTCTTTCACTAGATGGGTCTGATGACATCATGATTAACAGAAGAAAATCTCCAGCAGATGTATTTCCTAATACCAATACCATGAAATTTAAGCATGTATTTTACGTTGTGCTACTAATTTTGAACTTCTACACCAGTTACTTATGAGTTCCAGGAAAAAATTCAGTTGGTACAATAAAGCAATCAATTTTAATTTTAAAGACAGGGCAGATTTATACAACTACAGGAGAGGGTTACAAAATGATCATGATAGCTCAAGAGAAATGTAAATGTTTTTGCCTTAATAAAACAAACTTACAGCATGGATAGTCTTGCATCCATTGAAATGTAGCAAAACATTTCATGTAGGTTGAGTTCTGCAGATTTGCTTATAGCTACATCAAGTAGATATTCTTTGATCTCTTTTTGAACTGTTCACTCACTTACTACTTGTAAATTACAGTTACAATATTTCCCCCTTAGGATGCCATTTCTAACAGTTTTATTTTCATTCATACATAAAAAAAAAGGTAAGAATATCTTCCTACCCTCCCCCAAAGAATGTTCATTTTTTTTTTTAACATAGCAAATTCATTCTTATAAACTAG